AAAAAAGTGACAGGTTTGGGCACTGTTTTTGAATCGTCACTGTGAAGGAAGTAAGAAAAACAATTTTAAAAATTCCAAAACAATTCACAAAAACCTGATGAGTGTCCTAAAAATCAGGGACATAAGGTGTCTTTGGATCAAAAATGCATTGTAGAAGAAAATATTTTTATTTAAATTTTAAAACGCTGTTCACAAATGAAGATTTTTAAACTTTGCTGTGACTTTAAAATTTTGAATGCGCCCACCTCCTCGTGTGGTTGAGATAGGTTGAATTTTCCAAAACGACCGTATGAAAGAGACATGTAACTATTTAATTCCGAAAAGATTACCAAAATTGGTTAACCACTCTTGAAGACATATCCCAAAAGATGAAGAAAATTTGATATTTTCTTAAATTAAAGATACCGCAAATACCAGAGCTGATGGACTATAGGCGTAGTGGCAACTTATGCTTAGAAAAGCCTCATTTATTGAAATAAAATGGTGGCAGGCCTGGACACCGACCCATGACACATTTTGTTGGCCTGTGCTATGTGACTTTTGCTATATATTCCTTTTAAAATCTTCATTTATTTTTAATAAAGTTTTTTACAAATTTTTTTGGTTGTTTAGGAGCAGCCGTTGCCGTCAGCCGTCGGGTACACAGGGGAACCAACGGGGGACTCGTCCCCTGCCGTAACTGTGTGCACCGATGGTAGTGCGACTATACTCTTCCCGTGAGGGCGGCTGGAAGCAGGTCCATAGTCTAGCTATGTCTATGGATGCTGACGAATCGTAGTCGGGCGGACCTGGGTAGGTCTTTAAAGTGCCTACCCTCAAGTCAGGCGTGTCAAGCGACCCGTGCCCACTGACTTTCAGGTTCGCAGCTGAGGGGTAAATCCAGCTGTGTCTTAACGGAGCCTTCCCAGGGCCGGGCAACCCTGGGTCGGAAGTGGCCTTGCCGTGGCTTTGGGGCGGAGTCACGGTAGACTTTTTCATAGAGCCCCAACAACCTTCAGGCCCGCCGCGCTTGCCTGGTCGAGCAACGCGGGCGATCATGTATTGAATATGGAAACCAACAACGTAGCTTCGGACCTAAGGTGCTTCGGCACCGATGGGAACGGAAGGGGCTGCTAAGACCAGCACCCCTTGAGACAACAATAACACCCACCCACACAATAGCGGAACCCAGCCGGGTACCAGCAAGGCAGCCACTGTCACGCATCAGCAGCGCAAGGCCAATGTCAGTTGGGCCCGTATCATTCTCGGCAAGATTGCCAAGAATGAGGCAGAAGGCAAGACTGACCAGCGCGATGCGGAAGACAAGACTCGATGCCTTGCGGAGATCGCAGCCTTCGAGGAATATATGAGGACGCGCCCGGAGGCCACCCAAGCGAACACAAAAAGGGACCGCTCGCACGAGGCAAGCGAGAGCGCACGCAAACGGGCAAAGGACGCTCAGGGGAGGCCAAGACCGACCTCCTTTGTGAAGAAGGCCAAGAAATTTAGCGACGTAGCCAGAGATAGCCTCGCGATGGCACTGGTGGACGACCTGCACGACGACGGACGCCTGCTGTCGGAGAAGTGGGAGGAGATCGAGGTCAAGGTGGCCGACATGATAGCTGAAAGGCTATCAGCCGTGCCAAATGGTCCGATCCCCTCCTTCGACTCGTCGGACATGGTCAGAGGGCACCGGGTGATCAAGTGCGATGACTCGTTCTCGGGGTCCTTCCTGGCGGAATGCATATCCAAGATTGGAAATGCATGGGACGGCCTTAGCATTATGGTCGTCCACGCCAGGGAGATTCCAAGGAGGCCGCGGGCTCGCATTTGGTTGCCCAAGGAGCAGACTGACCAAGGAAAGGTGCTGTCGCTGCTGAGGGCTCAGAACCCAGAAGTGCACACAGAGGACTGGGCGATACTAAAAGAAGAGAAGGAGATGAAGACGAGCCAGCCGTTTCTCTTCCTCATCAACCAGCGCTGCCTGCCGTAGCTTGAGAAGGCCGACTACACCATCCGGTACGGTCTATGGAAGGCCAAGATCAAGGTCTTCCTGGCAGAGCCGGAAGATGTTCTCGAGGAGGTCAATGACACCAACAAGCTGTTGGATGACCTGGTCATCGACGACAAGACCCCAGACGTAACACCCAACACCGATGCCTAAAGTCGTGCAGATTAACCTGAAGTGCAGCACGCATGCTTTAGCCAATCTTGCAGTTCTTCTCAGTGAGAGGAACATTGACATAGGCATCGTTCAAGAACCATGGACTCGAGACAGATAAATCTCAGGTCTAACACAACAAGGATATACACTCTTTTATAATAACCCGAGAGCAGGTATTATTATAAAGAATAACTATAACGCACTTCTATGCCCCAATCTTAGCACACCGGATCTAGCAGTTGCCAGATTCGTGGCGGCGGATGGGACATCGATGGTGATAGCCTCAGCCTACATGGCCCATGATGACCCAGTCATCAAGCTGCTGCAATGGGCGGAAGATACTAAGACGACCCTGGTGCTCGGATGCGACGCTAACACGAGGCACTCACTATGGGGAAGCTCGGAAACCAACGAAAGGGTGAGTCTCTTTTTGATAATATTATCTGCCGCAACATCACCATATGTAATAGAGGTAACACACCCACCTTTATATTCCCAAGCACTAGGGAATTTCAGGGATGGGAAGAGGTGTTAGACCTCACTTTACAGACAGAATTTAGTAGATATAAGGTTGAAAAGTGGATAGTGTCGAAACAAAATTCCTTTTCAGATCACAGGTACATTTTCTTCGAAATTTCGATTCCGATTAGCAAACCGGAACCGAAACGTAACCCCCGTAGAACAAACTGTGACAAATTCGGTAAGATTGTCTACTCGAAAGTTAGCAACAGAAGAATACGGGTACAAACCACTGCGACGACCCTGGACAAGGAAGTAGAGGACCTAACAAACATTCTAAACAATGCATATAAGGAAACATGCAAGGTTTCATACTCTAAGAAACAACACCCTTTATGGTGGACCAAAGAGCTTTGCACTCTGAGAAAGAGGGCAAGAAAAGCCTATAACTCTAGCTATGCTACCAAGGAATGGAAGCCATACAAGGACGCACAAATGTATACAAAAAAGCGATATACGCAGCCAAGAAAGACTCTTGGAGGACTTACTGCGAATCGCTAAAAGGTATAAAAGACTCGGCTAGACTAAGCAAGGTCCTTGCTAAAGGGTATAACCAGTGTTGGGAAAGGTACTGTGTTTTTTTACCTAGGTAAGGTAAAAGGTATTGGGCAAAAATAAATACCTAGGTAAGGTAAAGGTACTTAAATTTCCCAGTACCTAGGTAAAGGTAAAAGGTAAATATATTGTTTTTTTTTATTTTTTATAATTTTTGTTGTTTTGTTCAATGTAATCATTTACACTTAAAATAAGACTAGTTTTCAGTTTTTAGTCGTCTTAATCAAACAATATCTTTTCATTTCATTTAAATTTAAATGTTATAATTTTGTGCATATATTTTTAAAACACGCGGCATGAATAATTGTATGCACGTATCACTTCATTAATGTATTTATGAAACCCTCATGTACATATTTGGCGCGCAAAAATTCCGTATGTAGAAACATTGACTTTATATTGTGCCGTTTGTTTACGTACATACGGCATTTTTGCGCGCCAAATACACTTTGGTTTTATAAATAAATTGATGTAGTGATGGGAACATACATACGTGCACAAAATTAAATAAAATAAAACTGCGATTAGTTTTAACTTCACAAAACAAACAATAGAACGGCTGAATTCCAATGACTTTTAATGCTCCGTTCCGACTATTACAATTTCGAAACGAAACGATACAATGAAACGATACTACAGTGTCGCAGTCAGACTTGGCTATTTTAAATCATAGCAATGTTTAATACCTATGTAAGTACCTTAATAATTCCAAAGGTATATAAAAATCTGTATCTAGGTAAGGTAAAAGATACTCAATTATTTGTATACCTAGGTAAGGTAAAAGGTACCACTAAATTGTACCTAGGTACGTACCTAGGTAAAAGTATCTAGGTATGTCCCAACACTGGGTATAACAGGGTATAACTCTATTACACAAACAAGACGGATCAGCGACTACAATTGTGGAAGAATCCCTAGAGACACTAGTGTATACACACTTTCCAGGCAACCTTCGAGAAAAGCCAGCACCTACTGAAGGACAGAGGGCTCATCAACCAACACACACAAGGGATATCATAACCATTGAAAGAATCAACTGGGCGATAAACTCTTTCGATAAATATAAGAGTCCGGGGCCAGACGGCATTTTCCCGGCAATGCTTCAAGCAACACAGGTCAGCATCAATAGGTGGCTGCAAGCCATTTACATGGCTTGCATTAGACTGACACACATACCGCTTCTATGGAAGGAAGCCAAAGTTGTATTTATACCAAAACCAGGAAGAAGAGGTCATATTTTAGCAAAGGATTACAGGCCGATCAGCCTTACCTCCTTCCTAATGAAAACGCTGGAACGAATGATCGATATTCATATCCGGAAAAACACCGCGAAGCAGCATCTATCGGACGCTCAGCATACGTACCGAAAGGGCAGATTGTCAGAAACGGCACTACATGAAGTAGTCTGCCACATAGAAAAATCGCTACATTTTAACCAATATACAATGGCCCCCTTCTTAGATACAGAAGGTGCGTTCAATAATGTAAACGCCGAATCCATACTGAGCTCCCTCAACTCGATCGGCATTGAAGGAGACATCAAAGCTTGGATCGGAGTTATGCTCACGAGCAGGACGATAACAGCCGAACTGAGTGGCACTTACCTCACACGCTTTGTGAAGAGAGGCACACCTCAGGGCGGGGTTCTATCGCCACTGCTCTGGCTTATCAACATGAACGACATATTGAGAGAACTCAAAGCGGAGGAGTCAAAGTAGTAGCCTACGCAGACGACGTAGTGTTGCTAGTATCAGGACCATTCCCAGATGTCATTAGTAACATAATGACGGGGGCCCTTACCCGACTCAATGAATGGGCAAAAACCTGCGGACTAGGTATAAACCCGAGTAAAACCGAACTGATGCTCTTCACGCGAAGAACAAAGATCCCAACATACAGCAAACCAAAAATAGATGGAATCGAACTCGAGCTATTGGGTAAGGCTAAGTATCTAGGAGTGATACTAGACCCGAAGCTCCCGTGGAAACTGAACATCACGGAACGAGTAAGAAAGGCCAGCATAGCATTCTACTCGTGCAGGAAAATGTTTAGCAAAAACTGGGGTATACACCCTAGGATAATATTATGGCTTTACACAGCAGTGGTAAGGCCAATCCTCACATACGGGGCACTAGTCTGGTTGCCAGCCCTGACAAGAGCATGCAATATTACCTAGCTGACAAGAATACAGAGATCAGCTTGCGCAGGAGCTACTGGGGCATTAAGATCATGACCGGCTGCCGCGTTGAACACTATTCTGGATATAATGTCGATAGAACATTTCATAAGTGCTGAAATTCCCGATCCTGATAAGGATCCTCTACTTCATGATATCGTCAAGGCAAATATGATTCATGGACCCTGCGGGGCATTAAATTCGAAATCGCCTTGCATGAATAAACGTAAATGCACAAAAAGATTTCCAAGGCAGTTTTTAAAAGATATTTTGACTGGGAAAGACGGTTACCCACAATATAGGCGAAGGGCGCCAATAGATAGTGGTTTTACTATTGTAATCAATGGTAACATTATAGATAACCTTTGGGTTGTGCCGTATAATCCAACTCTTTCGCGTGCTCTTAGAGCCCATTTAAATGTAGAATACTGCAGCTCTATTAAGTATGTCTGTAAGTACATTAATAAAGGGAGTTATCAAGAGACAATTGCAATAGAAAAAGTAAGAGACGAAATAAAATTATATGAAAGTCGATATATAAGCATCTCAGGAGCGGTATGGAGAATTTTAGCGTTTCCCATACATGAGAGATATCCAGGAATCACTCAATTAGCTGTGCATTTGGAAAACGGTCAAAGGATATACTTCAATTCAGATAATCCAAATCAATTGGCTAATCAGATAATGAATCCGCCAACAACGACACTAATTGCCTTTTATGAGCTTTGCAAAATTGACTCATTTGGGAGAACCCTTCATTATGCCAAAGTGCCTTCTTTTTACACTTGAAATAACAAATCATTTCAAAGAAGAAAAGAGGGGTTGATGTTCCAAATTTCCCTGGGGTTAAAAAAGATCAATGTTTGGGTCATGTGTACACTGTTCATCCCAAAAATAGTGAATGTTATTATCTTAGACTTATCTTAGACTCCATGAGGTAGGAGGTCCAACCTCATTCTTGGATTTAAAAGCAGTAAATGGTGATGAATACAATACTTTCCAAATGGCTTGCAATGCTGTGGGCTTACTGGAAGATGATAATCATTGGGACTTGACCTTGACCGAAGCTGCACAATGTCAAACGCCAACTAAATTGCGAGAACTATTTGCAATAATGTTAGTATCTTGCCAAATAAGCGATCCACTCCATCTTTGGGATAAGCACAAATCAAGCCTCTCAGAAAATATTGTGTACCAAATACAAATGCGGGTAGATGGTAGTGTAGATCCAGCCCTACTGGAGTGTGCAAACACCAAGTGTTTCATTACAATTGAAGATATCGTACTATCTATAGGAGGAAATATTTTATCACAGTACGGTTTACCTGAGCCAAACAGAGTCGATAAACCATTAGCAAATAGGGACTATTTAAGAGAGATTAACTATGAAAATAATGAATAAGGTACTATAATGATTATGGGCCGTTCTTTTACAAACCGAACAGATATGGCCAAAAAAAACATTTCACATTTTTGATTTGCCTGAAACTTTTTTTACACGTACTATTCGGAAAATAAGTAAGCACGTTTATCAGGATTTGACCGAAAAAAAATTATTTTTTTAATTAGAATTTTTTTAAGTGTGCCAAAAAATTGTCAAATTTGAAAAAGTACCCTCTCATTGAAAATCTGTATCTCCGGTTATATGAATCCAATTGACTTCATGTCTTTTGCATTAATTCCTCTAAAACCTCTCCTTTCAAAATAAAATTTCTTTAAAAAAAAAGTTTTTAATTTCTTAAAAATAAAAACAAATTAAGATTTAAAAAAATTTTTTAACCATTGCCCCCACAAAAAAAAATTTTTTTTATTTCAATACTTGCGCCATATTGTTAGTTGCAATCGGTTTTTGTAAAAAGTTGGAGCCACTTTTAGTTTTTAAAATATCGAATTTGTTTTAGCAAGGCCTCGGCTTTTTTCTATGAAAAAACGTCGCAGCATGTAGATTAACTCTCTCACTCTTATCGGATCCTTATGGAATTCATGTTTTCTCATTGTTTACTAGTCCTTTAACAATTGTTAATGATTAAAAGTTAAGTTTTAAGTCTTTTGACAATTTCTGAATGACAAAAAGTAAAAAGTCATTTTTTAATCAATTAAAAACTTACAATTATTTATTTAACCGTCTATTTAAAAAACAATAATTTTAAAATTTTTGAATTTATTATTTTTCTGTATTATGTAATTTATTAAACATTTTTAAATATTTTTTTTTTAGTTTTAAAAAAAATTATATATTATAAAAAATAAAACAATTTAAATTTTATAAATTTGTAGGGGAGTGTAGGGTAATTTGACGAGTAGGGTAATGTGACGAACTCGTCGAATCTCACATATGACGTCACGACAAAAATTCCAAATAAATGTAGTCGTCTCCTCTTATCGTGTCGACAATGTATTTACAGTAATATTAATAAGAAGTCCCGTAATTTGTTCGTGAGGTAATTTTCGCTAAAAATGTGATGCGCAAACTAGCAAACCCATTCAATTTACTTGTGTTTCAGCAGTGCCAGAGCAAAGATGAGTGGAAAATAAAATCAGGCTAATATATGCACGTATACACGAGATCTTTATCAATAGTTTTTGGTACCTCGCGTTTTTTTCTTTTGCGCCGTTTGAGAGTGACACCGATTTTGCTCCAAGTCTACCTTGTAGGGTATCGTGACGAACTTTTTGTAGGGTATTGTGACGAACTTTTTTTATTCAAGAATTTTAACTGTTATCGTTGATTATTTGTGAAAAAAAATATAATAAAACCAGATAACATTTACTGCTGCAGTTTTATTGTTGTTTTTAATAGTGACGTCAGTTTAATTAAATTTTAAAAAAATTTGCACTTTGACCATTTTTTTTATTGTAAGTTTGGATATTATCTTATTACTTCTTTCTTTTCCGTATCGAAAATAACTTTTCCGTAAATAATATATAAAAAAATGTATTTTTTTGTTTGCTAAAAGGATGGTTTACACCAAACGCTGTGAATCCAAATTTTTCAGAAATATGCTCAGTAAATGTAAGTAACTTTCTGCTTTTACACTTTTAAAAAATATTGATTTTTGGAGAAGTTACATTAAAGAACAAATCGTTCGTCACATTACCCTACAACTTTTGAAAGTGCAAAAAAAGAAGGGTTCACGCCAAACGCTGTGGGATTTAGCTGCATTGGAATTTTGAATTTCGAATTTTACAGGGATATGCTCAGTAGATGTAAGAAACTTTCTGCGTTTACACTTTTGAAAAATATTGATTTTTAGAAAAGTTACATTCAAAAACCGAATCGTTCGTCACCTTACCCTACACTCCCCTAATAAATAATTATTAATGACGAAAATCCACTTAATGCTGAGCAAAACGTAGCATATAAGCACATATTAGAAAGTGTTGAGGCCGAACGAGGTGGAATATTTTTTTGGATGCTCCTGGTGGCACTGGAAAAACGTTCCTTTTGAATTTGATTTTAGCAAAAGTTTGTTTAAATAAAAATATTGCCTTGGCTGTCGCTTCTTCTGGAATAGCTGCCACTTTGCTAACCGGAGGTCGAACAGCGCATTCTGCATTCAAACTTCCATTGAATTTAATAAATGTGGAAATGCCGTATTGCTCAATTTCAAAGCAGTCCAATATGGCCATTGTTTTGAAAGACTGTAAGCTTATTGTTTGGGCTGAATGCACTATGGCGCATAAGGGCGGCTACGAAGCTCTCGATAGGACTTTGAAGGATATACGAGACAATAACTTTGTAATGGGTGGCCTTACAGTTCTTTTAGTTCGTCAAACCCTTCCAGTAGTGCCCCGCGGAACCAGAGCAGATGAAATAAAATCGTGCTTAAAATCTTCTTTTCTGTGGGCAGATATCACGAAACTAGCCGTTACCAAAAATATGCGTGTGCACTTGAACGGCGATCAATCTGCTGTTTTTTTTGCAAAAACATTACTCCAAATTGGAGACGGCATATATTCAACAATGCTTGGGAACTTTCCTATTTCCTGATATTTTAAACATTGCAGAAGAGTCGCTAGATTGGTTGTCTGAACGCGCAATTTTATCTTCAAGGAATGATAGAGCTTCTTAAATAAATGACTCAGTATTAAGGTCATTTGACGGTCAAGAGGTAACATACAAATCTATTGACTCAGTCACGGTATTAGAAGATGCTGTTCACTTTCCTGTCGTGTTCCTGAAAAAACAGGTTTTCCTTAGCATTATCTTTATGTTAAAATTGGGGCCCCCATAATGTTGCTACGTAATTTAAGCAGGGTCCGAAAATAATGATTATTTTTTTTGAGTAAAAAATAAAAATCTCCTTTTAATGATTATTTTGTAAGCAAAAAAAATATCGCTCAGAAATTATGATTATTTTGTGAGCGATATATTTTGCTCAAAAATATCACTCAAAGTGGGATTGCATCCGTCCTACGCGGAATTTTACAAAGATTTAAATGTGCTCTTGTAGGTAGAACCACGGAGCACATATTCCGTTAAGAAAAAAATAAATTTTCTTTGTATAAACCGCTTAAAAAAAAAAAATTTTTTTTGTATAAAAACACTTTCTGTAGGAATCGAACTCGTGCTCAGCCCACATGTCAACTAAAAACCGCGTTTTAAAAAGTTTATACAAAGAAATCACCTTCTTTTATTAACAAGCAGAAATTTAAAAGTTTGTAAAATTCCGTACAGAACGGCTGTAAACGCACTTTTTAAAGCGAAATAATATCGCTCACATAATAATCATTATTTCTGAGCGATATTTTTTTCGCTTACAAAATAATCATTAAATGGAGATATTTATTTTTTCACTTATAATGATTACGGTCCCTGAATTTAAGTCCTCCACAACTTTGCAACGGAACGAGATTGCAAGTTAAAGCTCTCCATAAATTTGTCATAGAAGCAGTAGTTTTTACTGGAAAGGTGTTTATACCTAGAATTTCCATTATAACATCTAACCTACCCTTTGAATTCAAAAGACTGCAATTTCCCGTGAAAGTCTGTTTTGCAATAACTATCAATAAATCCCAGGGACAGACTTTAAAGATAGATCTGAGAGAGGATTGCTTTTCTCATGGTCAGTTCACGTCTGAAATTGGGAAACCGATTGTTTCCAAACAGACAACGATTATAGCTTTCACACACTTTAGAAGTTCAGCGACGAAGCTTTGACGTAAGTAACACCTATAAGTATGTAATGCTTAATTACATATTCCTAGATGTGGTATAAATAGAAGTTTCGACGCTCAGCTCACATCCTCTTCTCTGGCTGATGAGGAAGCGTTGACGACCGAAATTTGGAAATTCCAGAAAGTCTGAGGTTCACTCCTCCCGAGTGCAGTGTGTTGAAATGCTAGACTGTTGAATTATAAACTCAACTTCTAAAAATGACCTCGAGTCCGCTAACGTACTCAATAGTAAACATAGGTCGATCTAAATCACTAATTAAACGAGGACGGAAGCTAACTTCGGCAAGCCGAAGTTTTAATACCCTTGCAGATTTCACGATCTGTTATGCAGGTACGTTTGCAAGCTCAGTTTAAAAGCTAGCGACTTAAAGCTTTCAAAGTCGTCCGTAAACATGTGTACTCAGATCAAGTTTGAAAACCGACCCGATCGGACTTTTATATCCTATAGCTCCCACAGAAACAATCGGATATAGCTTTCACAAAATGAAGATATTTCGCTCAGTGTAAAAGCTTTTGACATTAATCTTATTTTATATAATACACAGTGCTATAATGGTCATTTCTGCGTTAGTGATTTTAGCTTCGCGACTTATTTCGGAAGAAAAATAATTATTTCCAAAAAAGTACTGTGTGGGGAAATTTCGCCACCCTATGCTTAGGGTAAATTCGCACCTATTTTAAATACATATTTTTTTATTTGACGACAAATATAGGATGTCAACAAAAATGGTACGCTTGGTCAGTCATTTTTCAGGTGACGAAATTGCCCAAGTGGTGTGGCGATTTTACCCCCCTACGTGGGGAATTGCCCCAGTATATTGGTTTTACTTTTTATACCCGTTACTCGTAGAGTAAAAGGGTATATTGTATTCGTGCAAAAGTATGTAACAGCTATAAGGAAGCATTTCCGACCCTATAAAGTATATATATCTTGATCAGGGTCACTAGCCAAGTCGATATAGCCATGTCCGTCTGTCCGTCTGTCTGTCCGTCCGTATGAACGCTGAGATCTCGGAAACTATAAAAGCTAGAAGATTGATATTTTGCATGCAGATTCTAGAAGTTCCTACGCAGCGCAAGTTTGTTTCAAAAGGGTGCCACGCCCCCTCTAACGCCCACAATCGCTAATATACGATTTTACAAATTTCAATATTTCGGAAAAAAAAATGCAGTTTTATTATGTTTATCAATACCTATCGAACTGTAGAAAATTTTTTAAATCGGACCATTCGTTAAAAAGTTACGGCGGATCAAAGTTTTTATCTCCATTTCCTTCGCACTCCCTTTAGCTAAGTAACGGGTATCTGATAGTCGGGGCACCCGACTATAGCGTTCTCTCTTGTTTATTTTTTATAAATCACCAAGGTAATTAAAAAACAGGGGAATGTCACATTTTAAATCTTGGTGCCAACCGCATTCAACAATAACAAGAGAGAACGCTATAGTCGGGTTGTTGGCCCGACTATCTAATACCCGTCACTCGGCTAAAGGGAGTGCGAGGGAGATGGATATATACCATTTTTTTGATTGCTTATAACTTTTTATTGAATGGTCCGATTTGAAAAATCTACATTTCGATAGGTATAAGTATACACAACAAAATTGCATTTATACTTCTCGGAAATCTTTAAAGGTGTGGCCGCCAGACACATTTTAAAATTGTTAGTGGGCGATTGTGGGCGTTAGAGGGGGCATGGCGCTCGGCTGCGTAGGAAGCCCAAGAATATGTGTGGAAAATCTCAACCTTCTAGCTTTTGTAGTTTCCGAGATCTCAGCGTTCATCCGGACGGACAGACGGACGGACATACGGACATGGCTAGATCGACTCGGCTAGTGACCCTGATCAAGAATATATACTTTATAGGGTCGGAAACGCTTCCTTCTCCCTGTTACATACTTTTGCACTAATACAATATACCCTTTACTCTACGAGTAACGGGTGTAAAAATATAAATATGATAACGTGTCTCAAGATGGACAAAAAATAGCTTTGAAAAAATGCTGGCGAAATTGCCCCAATTTTCCCTACTTTCTTAATTTTTCTAAAGAAAAAGTGTGGCTATTAATCGCCGAATAGAGTTTGTGAGGAGTCGTAAAACTCCCCACAAATCTCGAGGCAGGAGAGCCCCTAGCAACAGCGAGAATGCGGCAGAATCCAAGGGCATCCAGGTCCACCGGTAAATACTGGACCTTGGACCCGGCTAAAGCGGAGAGACCGTGAAATAACGGTGCCGCGCTGGACCTTGGACCCACGCCGCCAAAGGGCAAGAAGGTCGAACGGTAAAGCCGTGGACTTTGAACCGGCGCAAAGCGGATGCACCGTGAATTAACGGGACATCTTGGACCTTGGACCCGATGCGTGCCGTGTGCAAAGGGAACTAACGGGACACACGTGGACATTGGACCCTAGCGAGCCGTGTGCAAAAAGGGAAATAACGGGACCCCGCCGCTGCCTATAAAAGGGACGGCGCAGGCGCAGCTCGAGACAGACAACCAAGATACGCGAGCGAAAGTACAAGTGCAACCAACGAACCAGAGATCAAGATCAAGATACAAGTGCGAGGATTCAATCGAGTGCGTGGCCGTGAGAGTACCGTAGAAACCGAGTGCTCAACGCCCAGATCAAGATAACAGAGTCAAGACGCTAGGCCAAGGCTGAGACTGCTACGGTGAGATCTGCAGGACACAGAGATTGGAGTGGAGACGAGTGCAGGACAGGAGCAGAGTCGAGAGAAGGACGAGCTACCGGCAGGGTAAGCGCGGATCAAGAGTTTGTGCCAGGCGTCGGGGTTACGGTGGACTGACGATAAGGCTGAATCCTCGGATTTGACCTGTCGGGACATTTGTTTCTCAGGCTAGAGCCAGACCGACCCAGGGAACACGACGAAACAGGTGATCCCAGGATCATTCTGGTCGGACCCGAAAGGAAGGTTGTGCAGACTTCTTGAGTCCTACAAGCCGGGCGGAACTGGAGAGACGCCGTTGGAGAACGACGCCGCAGGAGTCCACAAGCACCACGAAGGGAGACGAGAGCAGCGACGCCGTCGAGGAGCGCCGCCGAGAAACGCACAGAGTGAATCCTGAGCCGAGGAAGGCACGTCGCCGACCCGGCAAGCCGCAACAGCCAGCTGACGAAGAAACAAATTCCAGCGAAAAGAAAAACTTAATAAAGTTTTCCAATCGGATATCCCTGCATTTTCTTGGGTCACGGGCAGTCAAAAAAAAACGTGGAGGACATGAGAAAAGCACTGTCGGAGTTCATAGACCGCAAAACCAAAGAACCGGAGACAGTTGCCATCCTCGAAGCGTTGGAAAGGGTATACGGAAAGAAGACTCCCGGGAAACAACAAGCGCAGAGGGCTTGGTGAGCAGCTTGGACGTCCAAAGCCTCAGGGACGCCGGCAACCAGGAGCGACGAAACTCCACTCAAAGATGGAACAGTCGTGAAAGGCAGGAGGACGCCGATCAAAGGAAGGACAGGGCCAAGACGGAAGTACCGGACTATGCCAAGGTGGCGAAGCAGGTACGAGAGTGGACCTTCAGGTACGACGGCCACGATAAACCCCTGGAGTTCCTAGAACAAGTAGAGTGGTCAGCGGTGACGTACGGGCTCGACGCCAATCTAATCCCCAGAGCGATGCCGGAACTCCTGCAGGGAAGAGCCCTCAAGTGGTTTATCGCTAACAACAAATTCTGGGAGACCTGGGCAGACTTCTCCCGAAGCTTCAAGGAATTCTTCCTGCCCAGGGGCTTCATGGTGAAGCTAGCCGATCAGGTCAGGCAGAGGAAACAAGTTTTCAATGAGTCGTTTAAAGACTACATGGTAGACATGCAGACCTTGATGCGGCCCCTGGATATGACCCGAGAAGAGGTCCTGGAGAGGATCATAGAGAACAGCACACCGGCGCTGCGGATGTTCATTCGCCCGTACGAGTGCAAGGACCTGGACGCTCTGATGGCACTGGCAGACGACTTTGAGGAGTTGGACCAGCAAAGGAGGGAGTTCGAGGAGGCCAACACTCCACAGGCCAGGATGCACCCCGTACCCGCAAGAAGAGAGTTTCAGCACCCGGTAGCGGCACGACGGGAATACGAACACCCGGGAACAGTACGAAGAGAGTTCGCGCACCCAGCAACCACTCGAAACGGGCAAGGAGCAGTCTGCAGAAGGTGCCAAGACAACACTGATGCCCCCTGGAGGCGAGGTCCACAAGGCCAAAGGACAGAGGGAAGGAGGGGACACATTACGAACCCGGCAACAGCATGCCGAAGATGCGGAAGCCAAGAGCACTGGGCAACAGAGTGCCGAAACCGCCCGGTGCTGTTCTGCTGGAACTGCGGGAAAATAGGCATAGCGACAACTAATTGCTGCCCGAGATCGGGAAATGCCCAGCGATCCCAGCCACCGAGGGGCAACTAGGGTTCGCGAGGCACTGCCCCTCAGATTTAATGGGCGACCTGAAGGCGGAAGAAATGCAACTGTCCGCCACAGTGCTCATAGCCGGGAAGAGGCTGAAGGCCACAGTGGACACCGGCGCCACGGCTAGCTTTATAAGCGAGGAGCTGGCGGACAGGCTGCAGGCGGCAGGACAGGTCAGGCCCACGAGGAGGCAAGTACGGATGGCAGACGGACGATGCGGGAGCATCACCTCGCAGCTGGAAATAGGAATAGGACTCGGCACGAGAACTGTGGTAATACAGTTGCTGATCCTTCCTGGAATCATAGACGCCCTGGTGCTAGGATGGAATTTCCTCACCACAATAGGAGCAAAAATGGAGTGCGCTGGTCTTCGGGTTGCGATACCACCAAGAAACAGGGAACAAAACTGCACAGAGGAAAGACTGTCCGTCGCTGTCGCGGAAACGCCAAAAGAATTCACGGAAGAGGACGTAGCTGAATTCCTAAAAACAGAATTGGCAGATTTGGAGAATATACAAGGAACGTCGACCGTAGCTGTGCACAAAATCACCATGAAAGATGACCAGCCGGTCAAACAAAGGTATTATCCCAAGAATCCCAAGATGCAAGGGGAAATTAACGCCAAGGTCGACGAGCTACTCGAAAAAGGTTGCATAGAACCATCAAAAAGCCCCTACAGCTCACCAATCGTCATGGTCAGGAAGAAGACAGGGAAATGGAGGTTGTGCGTAGATTTCCGGCAAATAAACGCAAAGTCCGTAAAGGACGCGTATCCGATGCCAATGATAAATTACATCCTGGACCAACTGAGAGAAGCCAAGTACATCAGCAGCTTGGATCTAAAAGACGGGTACTGGCAGATACCCTTGGAGGCGGACAGCAGGCAGTACACAGCCTTCACCGTCCCAGGAAAAGGTCTATTCCAATGGAGAGTCATGCCATTCGGACTACACTCGGCGTCTGCGACATTCCAAAGGGCGTTGGACCAGGTCATAGGGCCCGAGATGATGCCGCACGCTTTTGCGTATCAAGACGACATTATCGTCATCGGACGGACCATAAAGGAACACATGCAGAACCTAAAAGAGGTGTTCAGAAGACTGCGGGCAGCAAACCTGAAAGTAAATGCTGATAAATGTAAATTCTTCAGGAAAGAGTTGCAATACTTAGGGCATCGAATCACAGACCAAGGCATTGGGACGGACCCGGAGAAGGTGTCGGCTATAGCCCAGCTGAAGCCACCGGCAAACGTCAAGGAGCTGCGCCAGTATCTGGGGGTGGCATCATGGTATAGGCGATTCGTACCAGATTTTGCCACCATAGTGCAGCCCCTGAACGCACTCCTCCGGAAGAAAGCAAAATGGGAATGGACGAACGATCACCAGCAAGCGTTCGAAGCCGTCAAGGCCAGGCTAGTTGCTGACCCAATCCTGGCATGCCGAGATTTCAGCAAAACGTTTGTACTCCTCGGTGCTATTCTCACACAACATTCGGACCAGGGTGAGCGGGTGATTTCCTACTCCAGCCGATCCTTGAACGGGGCGGAAAGGAATTACTCTGCAACAGAAAAAGAGTGTTTAGCAATCGTGTGGGCCATCAGGAAATTAAAACCTTACCTGGAGGGCTACCACTTCAAAGTGATAACCGATCACATGGCCCTGAAGTGGTTGAATAGTATCGAGAGTCCATCCGGCAGAATCGCGAGATGGGCGCTGGAGCTACAACAGTACGATTTTGAAATCGCATACAGGAAGGGCCAGCTTAACATAGTAGCGGACGCCCTGTCACGGCAGCCGCTACCAGAAACGTGCCGAAGACTGGAAAATAAAGAAACCGATCTGCAAGAACGAGCACAATGCCCCTGGATAAAGGAAATGCAAGGAAAGGTTACGCAGAATCAACAAAAATACCCCGATTATCTGGTGGAAGCCAACCGGCTGTACCGACATATTCCACACAGGGCTGGCAACGAGGACGTAGTCGCCTGGAAGCTGTGCGTACCCACCGAGTCGAGAAAAAGGGTCATATCTGAGAATCACGACATGCCAACGGCCGGACACTTGGGCAGTCGGAAAACGATTGCAAGAGTGGCTGCAAGATATTACTGGCCGGGTATGCATCGAGACGTAAGAAAATATGTGCGGAACTGTGAAAGCTGCATGAAATACAAGCTGCAAATACAAGAAATACAAATACTCCAGGCAGCCGGAAAAATGCTAACACAAATTCCGGAGGAGCCATGGGCTACGGTATGCGCCGATTTCGTCGGTCCCCTGCCACGATCAAAACACGGGAATTCGATGCTACTAGTCTTGGTGGATCGATTCTCAAAGTGGACCGAAATCGTGCCCATGCGAAGGGCAACTACGGAAACCCTTTAAAAGGCCATCAGAGAACGGATAATTTCGCGATACGGAGTACCTAAAGTAATGATAACCGACAACGGCGTGCAGTTCACAAGCAGAGCGTTCAAGAAGTTCATGGAGGAACTGGGTGTCCGACACTAGTTTACAGCACCGTACACGCCACAAGAAAACCCGACGGAGAGAACCAACAGGACCGTAAAAACAATGATCGCGCAGTTCACCGGAGCCGATCAGAGGACGTGTGATGAAAAGTGGGCAGGATTGCAGTTGGCCGTGAATACAAGTGTGGCGGAGACAACGGGCTATTCGCCAGCGTTTATCACGCAGGGTAGAGAGCCGAGACTCCCAAACGCGCTGTATGACGAGCAGACAACCGGAACAGGAAAGGAAACACAAACACCCACGGAGAATTCACAAAAATTAAAGGAAATCTTCGAGTTGGTCAGGAGAAACATGGAGAAGGCAGCGCAGGATCAGGCGCGGCACTACAATCTGTCCAAGGCAGTAGATGGCTTCGCGGCGAAACTGGCCCCAAAATTCGATGGGCCGTTTAAAATCACAAAGTTCACCTCGCCGGTGATCTGCAAGTTACGGCACGAGGAAAGCGGCAAGGAAAAGACAGCTCACATAAGCGACCTAAAGCCCGGGAGTGAGCAAAGTGAAACGACCACGGATCGAGGAAGCACTGTGCTTTGCGTTAATGGGAAAAGAGAGAGGACGATACGGTGTATCGAAACGGGCACAACATATGGAACACACACGGATACGCGAACACACACACAACAGGAGCGCGAGAGCGGGTCAGAGGAGCTTCAAAACCGCGACTACCGTTACCGGCTGACGCACACCAATGCAAAATTCCGTAGGAGGCACACACGGAGGGCAAGTACCGTTACCGGTACAAGCCCAGCGGAATAACGGAAGAGGAGCGCGGCGGAAGAACAGAGGTTACGCGGAGGGTAGAGCAGAGTGGATCTGCCTATTCAAAAATTCCAAGCAGCAGCAGCAACATGTCCAACAAGACGAAACGCAGCAAAACCGAGGCACGTGAGGCCGGCGTCGGGGAACAACCCGCAGCGATATGGAGGCAGGATCCCGAATCCTACCTCCAGCTGTGCGCGTCACCCCTGGCGTCGCGCTCTCCGTCGCCGTCGGAGGAGAAGGACCGCGGCGAAATCCCGGACATAGAGTTGGAGGACGACGCGGAAGAGGAGGCCCAGATGCCGGACGACGCCGGAGACGTGGTGTCGCTCTCGTCGGATGACGACGACGAGACCTGGGGAGGCCTGGACTCGGTCACCCCGGAGGTGTCCTCGGACGAGGAGGATCACCTGCGACGAGGGGAGCGGGTGAAGCTCAAGTCCCACCGTCTCCAGATGGCGAGGCAGGGGAAGAGCTACATCCCGCTCGGCATGGCGCCACCGACGGATCGCCCCAGGGACTGGCGGCAAATGTTCCTGGCGCGCCGGATCACGCACGCCCGGATGAAGGGACAAATGAGGCGCCAGGCGGCCGCCGAGATCGCGGTCCAGAGGCTGCTCGAGAGGGCCGAGGAGGAGGAGGCTCGCCTGTGGGAGCCCCAACCACCGCCGCCATCACCGGCAGCAACACCCAACCACCGCCACCACCACCGGCAGCGACACCGCCCTCACCACCGCCACCACCACCGGCGACACCGTCCCCCCCACCGCCACCACCACCGGCGACACCGTCCCCACCACCGCTGCGGGAGCAGCAGGAGGCATGGCGAATCGCAGAGGAGCGACGGGTGGTCGAGGCAGACGGCGGGACGTGGCCTGAGGCGGTCGTCACGTGGAGATGGCCGGCACAGGAGTGCAGGAAGAGGGCGGGAGGAGAGGACGAGGAACTGGAGAAGACGGCGTGGGAGTGGCCCAGTCCACTGGCAGCGACGCCGAAAATCGCGCGGCAGGCCTCGTGCCCCGAGACACGTGCCCCGCCGGAGAGGCCGGAGATGCAGCGGCAGCATTCCGCGAGAGGCGAGCCGTGGACGCCGATCGCGGAGGAGGAGTGGCCACCGAGTGTGGCAACGGAGGCACGCCGGCAGCGAGGGAGAGCGCGGCAGAAGCGGTGGGCCAAGCTGGTCGTCGCTAACGGGGCCCGGTACCGCATCAGCGTTTTCCGCGCGGAGTAAAAGGAGCCCCAGAGTGAGGGCTAGAACAGAAGAGACGAGTATATTCTGGGACAGGGGAGGGTACGCGCGGCAATATATGCGCAGGCGCAGCCAGCGCCAACAACAACCACAACAACACAAGCAGTAACGCCGACTGCAGCACAACAACAAAAAGGGGTTAACGACCTCTACGGCAGCCATGCCAGGAGCGGACCGAGGGGCGCGAAAGCCAGGCGCGCGGGCCGGCAAATACGTCGCGAGGCTGCCGCAGGCGCGCGACACCGGGGCACTTGCAGCCGCAAGTCGTCTTCCGGGGCGCGCGGGGGCCAGGATCCGCACCCCGGAGCATCCAGGGGCATACATGCATTCATCGCCATGGAGCTGCAAGGAGATAAATGGTCAGATGGCTGGAAAACGGAGGAAAACAACACCAAGACACTTACCTTTTCAAAGCAGCCACGCGGTAATGAAAAATCGGGATGGGGGCGCTGCGATAGCGGCGGTCGATCGATAGTGCGATCGATAGGGAACACGACATGGAAAAATACTAGATTTTTCACAGTGGCCACGCTATTGGTCACACTGCGACTGGAATGGAAAATGGCAACGGCAAAAATATCGATACCTGGAATTGGAGACATGGAAGTGGCGACGCCGTTCACCACGATCGATGAACGCGATTATGAGTAGGAGCGGAGTTGCCAGATTGCGGAAATAGAAGCGGCGTATTTCTACGAGGAGCGGCGCGGAAATTCAAAATTCCGAGCGGAGGCGAGGATCAGCAACTGAGGAGAGAGAATCGTCAAGGAACAAGGAGCAGGAGCAAGGACGGCACGGGAGGATCTATACGCGGGGGTCAAGATGCCTATAGGACACGGCTGAGACTGGCATCGCTGCGATCCGACCGGTGGCCAACAGCAGGAGAAGGCATCAGCGAGGGTCCCGATGCGTGCCGTGTGCAAAGGGAACTAACGGGACACACGTGGACATTGGACCCTAGCGAGCCGTGTGCAAAAAGGGAAATAACGGGACCCCGCCGCTGCCTATAAAAGGGACGGCGCAGGCGCAGCTCGAGACAGACAACCAAGATACGCGAGCGAAAGTACAAGTGCAACCAACGAACCAGAGATCAAGATCAAGATACAAGTGATAGGATTCAATCGAGTGCGTGGCCGTGAGAGTACCGTAGAAACCGAGTGCTCAACGCCCAGATCAAGATACCAGAGTCAAGACGCTAGGCCAAGGCTGAGACTGCAACGGTGAGATCTGCAGGACACAGAGATTGGAGTGGAGACGAGTGCAGGACAGGATCAGAGTCGAGAGAAGGACGAGCTACCGGCAGGGTAAGCGCGGATCAAGAGTTTGTGCCAGGCGTCGGGGTTACGGTGGACTGACGATAAGGCTGAATCCTCGGATTTGACCTGTCGGGACATTTGTTTCTCAGGCTAGAGCCAGACCGACCCCATGGAACACGACGAAGCAGGTGATCCCAGGATCATTCTGGTCGGACCCGAAAGGAAGGTTGTGCAGACTTCTTGAGTCCTACAAGCCGGGCGGAACTGGAGAGACGCCGTTGGAGAACGACGCCGCAGGAGTCCACAAGCACCACGAAGGGAGACGAGAGCAGCGACGCCGTCGAGGAGCGCCGCCGAGAAACGCACAGAGTGAATCCTGAGCCGAGGAAGGCACGTCGCCGACCCGGCAAGCCGCAACAGCCAGCTGACGAAGAAACAAATTCCAGCGAAAAGAAAAACTTAATAAAGTTTTCCAATCGGATATCCCTGCATTTTCTTGGGTCACGGGCAGTCACGTGGAGGACATGAGAAAAGCACTGTCGGAGTTCATAGACCGCAAAACCAAAGAACCGGAGACAGTTGCCATCCTCGAAGCGTTGGAAAGGGTATACGGAAAGAAGACTCCCGCAACAAGCGCAGAGGGCTTGGTGAGCAGCTTGGACGTCCAAAGCCTCAGGGACGCCGGCAACCAGGAGCGACGAAACTCCACTCAAAGATGGAACAGTCGTGAAAGGCAGGAGGACGCCGATCAAAGGAAGGACAGGGCCAAGACGGAAGTACCGGACTATGCCAAGGTGGCGAAGCAGGTACGAGAGTGGACCTTCAGGTACGACGGCCACGATAAACCCCTGGAGTTCCTAGAACAAGTAGAGTGGTCAGCGGTGACGTACGGGCTCGACGCCAATCTAATCCCCAGAGCGATGCCGGAACTCCTGCAGGGAAGAGCCCTCAAGTGGTTTATCGCTAACAACAAATTCTGGGAGACCTGGGCAGACTTCTCCCGAAGCTTCAAGGAATTCTTCCTGCCCAGGGGCTTCATGGTGAAGCTAGCCGATCAGGTCAGGCAGAGGAAACAAGTCTTCAATGAGTCGTTTAAAGACTACTTGGTAGACATGCAGACCTTGATGCGGCCCCTGGATATGACCCAAGAAGAGGTCCTGGAGAGGATCATAGAGAACAGCACACCGGCGCTGCGGATGTTCATTCGCCCGTACGAGAGCAAGGACCTGGACGCTCTGATGGCACTGGCAGACGACTTTGAGGAGTTGGACCAGCAAAGGAGGGAGTTCGAGGAGGCCAACACTCCACAGGCCAGGATGCACCCCGTACCCGCAAGAAGAGAGTTTCAGCACCCGGTAGCGGCACGACGGGAATACGAACACCCGGGAACAGTAAAAAGACAGTTCGCGCACCCAGCAGCCACTCGAAACGGACAAGGAGCAGTCTGCAGAAGGTGCTAAGACAACACTGATGCCCCCTGGAGGCGAGGTCCACAAGGCCAAAGGACAGAGGGAAGGAGAGGACACATTACGAACCCGGCAACAGCATGCCGAAGATGCGGAAGCCAAGAGCACTGGGCAACAGAGTGCCGAAACCGCCCGGTGCTGTTCTGCTGGAACTGCGGGAAAATAGGCATAGCGACAACTAATTGCTGCCCGAGAATCGGAAATGCCCAGCGATCCCAGCCACCGAGGGGCAACTAGGGTTCGCGAGGCACTGCCCCTCAGATTTAATGGGCGACCTGAAGGCGGAAGAAATGCAACAGTCCGCCACAGTGCTCATAGCCGGGAAGAGGCTGAAGGCCACAGTGGACACCGGCGCCACGGCTAGCTTTATAAGCGAGGAGCTGGCGGACAGGCTGCAGGCGGCAGGACAGGTCAGGCCCACGAGGAGGCAAGTACGGATGGCAGACGGACGATGCGGGAGCATCACCTCGCAGCTGGAAATAGGAATAGGACTCGGCACGAGAACTGTGGTAATACAGTTGCTGATCCTTCCTGGAATCATAGACGCCCTGGTGCTAGGATGGAATTTCCTCACCACAATAGGAGCAAAAATGGAGTGCGCTGGTCTTCGGGTTGCGATACCACCAAGAAACAGGGAACAAAACTGCACAGAAGGAAAGACTGTCCGTCGCTGTCGCGGAAACGCCAAAAGAATTCACGGAAGAGGACGTAGCTGAATTCCTAAAAACAGAATTGGCAGATTTGGAGAATATACAAGGAACGTCGACCATAGCTGTGCACAAAATCACCATGAAAGATGACCAGCCGGTCAAACAAAGGTATTATCCCAAGAATCCCAAGATGCAAGGGGAAATTAACGCCAAGGTCGACGAGCTACTCGAAAAAGGTTTCATAGAACCATCAAAAAGCCCCTACAGCTCACCAATCGTCATGGTCAGGAAGAAAACAGGGAAATGGAGGTTGTGCGTAGATTTCCGGCAAATAAACGCAAAGTCCGTAAAGGACGCGTATCCGATGCCAATGATAAATTACATCCTGGTCCAACTGAGAGAAGCCAAGTACATCAGCAGCTTGGATCTAAAAGACGGGTACTGGCAGATACCCTTGGAGGCGGACAGCAGGCGTACACAGCCTTCACCGTCCCAGGAAAAGGTCTATTCCAATGGAGAGTCATGCCATTCGGACTACACTCGGCATCGGCGACATTCCAAAGGGCGTTGGACCAGGTCATAGGGCCCGAGATGATGCCGCACGCTTTTGCGTATCAAGACGACATTATCGTCATCGGACGGACCATAAAGGAACACATGTAGAACCTAAAAGAGGTGTTCAGAAGACTGCGGGCAGCAAACCTGAAAGTAAATGCTGATAAATGTAAATTCTTCAGGAAAGAGTTGCAATACTTAGGGCATCGAATCACAGACCAAGGCATTGGGACGGACCAGGAGAAGGTGTCGGCTATAGCCCAGCTGAAGCCACCGGCAAACGTCAAGGAGCTGCGCCAGTATCTGGGGGTGGCATCATGGTATAGGCGATTCGTACCGGATTTTGCCACCATAGTACAGCCCTTGAACGCACTCCTCCGGAAGAAAGCAAAATGGGAATGGACGAACGATCACCAGCAAGCGTTCGAAGCCGTCAAGGCCAGGCTAGTTGCTGACCCAATCCTGGCATGCCCCGATTTCAGCAAAACGTTTGTACTTCAAACAGACGCCAGCGATTACGGCCTCGGTGCTATTCTCACACAACATTCGGACCAGGGTGAGCGGGTGATTTCCTACTCCAGCCGATCGTTGAACGGGGCGGAAAGGAATTACTCTGCAACAGAAAAAGAGTGTTTAGCAATCGTGTGGGCCATCAGGAAATTAAAACCTTACCTGGAGGGCTACCACTTCAAAGTGATAACCGATCACATGGCCCTGAAGTGGTTGAATAGTATCAAGAGTCCATCCGGCAGAATCGCGAGATGGGCGCTGGAGCTACAACAGTACGATTTTGAAATCGCATACAGGAAGGGCCAGCTTAACATAGTAGCGGACGCCCTGTCACGGCAGCCGCTACCAGAAACGTGCCGAAGACTGGAAAATAAAGAAACCGATCTGCAAGAACGAGCACAATGCCCCTGGATAAAGGAAATGCAAGGAAAGGTTACGCAGAATCCACAAAAATACCCCGATTATCTGATGGAAGCCGACCGGCTGTACAGACATATTCCACACAGGGCTGGCAACGAGGACGTAGTCGCCTGGAAGCTGTGCGT